GTCTTGCTAGGACTCTGCAATGGGGATGAAGACAAGGGTACAGAGGCCTCTGGCCGCGTTGTTGAGGTGTGTGCAGAGAGGACTTAGGCAGTATAGCTGAAGGGGCGTAGGCGCGCTGTCTTGGAGGGAATCTGCTGACTCTGGACACTCGAACTTGTCTGTGTCAAGTGCAAAACCTTTTGGCAGCCCGGTGCTTGGATTATTGCTGTCACAATTGCCATAGTTCTGCATCAATTGTGTCTGACAGAGCAGTTGACTTGCCCATCCATGGCAGTGGCAACCTCGCAACTGTGCTGCACAAGTCTGTGTGCTCCATCCCAGTAGTACAGTAGTGTCCTAGCTCGGCTATCAAGTGGTACTTTGTGCAAAGGGCTGGCTGTCTGACGGATTCCTTCCAGGAATCAACCTTCAGACCATGATATGGAACGACTTAGGTCCTGTCAGCATTCATGCACCTAGTGTTGCCAACACTCATGAGCTCACTGGTGCAAGGGGAGGTGGGGCTGCCTCCCCTGAAACAAGCAGAGGTGTCCATGCTTTAAGCACTTATACCCTATTGGTCAAGAAAGTCATTGACTGCCTTATTTGCAAGTGAATGGATCCTAGCACATCTTTTCTATGCTGCATTTGAGTTCATGTTGGTGTGGCAGTGTGTCAGCTCCTGCACGCAGCACATTTGGCATTATGAAACAGTCACGTGACACAACGACAAATGTGTTTTGGATGTGGCAATGCCCAGCCAGACCATGCAGTTGTGTTGCAATTGGACCCTACTTTGTTGATTCTGGTTGTCGCCACAAGCCGAGTTAGTTGACTCGGTGGTTCTCGTTCATTGCACCTGTCACAATTGGCGATTTCGGCACTGTTGTTGAATAGTTGTCCTGTCTGCGGCGCAGCTTTTCATGGGTGAAAAGATTGTGATCCATCCAAACTACACCGGCACAACCCAGGAAGGAAACGACATTGCCCTCATATTGCTCAATCGGGAGTCGAAAAATGTGCCTGTGAATTTGGCAACCAACCCAAATGAATTGGTGAACAAACGGAAGGTTGCCGCCGTTGGCTTTGGCACATCGAATGTTGGTGGACCTTCTGACACGCTCAAGTTCACAAATGAGTTGAGCATCGTCCCAAACTCTGTGTGTGAGCTTTCGTGGGAGGGCGTCATCCAGGACGCGATGGTGTGTGCTATTGGGCCAGATGGTGTTCTGGACATGTGCCCAGGTGAGGGCTCACGATGTCCAACCTGACCTGGAGTGACTGTGCATTATGCTGGTGGCATGAAACACAGTCATGCCACTGGACTCTTGCCAGGAGATGGAACGAGTGTGATTTCACAGTCGCCAACAACAGCATCGATCGGGGTGCTGACCAGCTGTCACAGGTGGCATCACCCGTGCAACAACTTTTGTTTCAATCCATCTGTGCATGTTTTGAGTTGGAGCTGAATCGCTGAAAGTCGTTCGTTGGGTCTGTGGTGATAATCTGTTGTTGTTTAAGCTGTGGTAGTTGTCTATTCTTACTGTGCATATATCATAGTATGTTGCATAGCTGGGAAAGTGTACTTTGAAGCGTTGCATATCATTGTGTCTTGGATGGTGTCAAATTGCTAAAGCTCGGTTGTTGGTAGCATTGTCCACAGTAGTCCACTGTCCACTGTACTGATCTGCTAGCTTGCGTAGTTTGAGACACACTGTCTCACCCTCTGCACTTGCAACATCTTCCAGTAGTTGGGGGTAACAGTCATGTGTGCTGTCGCTGGATATTCTTTTGCAATGGTGTTGAATACTAATGGTTGTTCGGTTAACAACGACGGCGTGGTGATTGGACCTCAGGGGACAGCGGTGGGCCGCTGCTGCTGCCCTTCCAACCTGGTGGGAAGGTGGAAGATGGCGCGCCTGAAGTCGACAAGGTTGTGGGTGTCACATCGTTTGGTGGGAAGAGAGCCTGCGGTGAGGCAGGGGGCCCGGCAGTGTACACTAGGGTGACGAGCTATGCTGACTGGATAGCGAGCGTCCTGGAGGTGAGTATAAAAAAGTGAACTGGGGCACAAGGCAAGGCACAAAATGGTCTGGAGCAGCTTGGTGCAGGGCGAAAGGAATATGTGCTTTTGGCTACTTGAGCCCGAGCTGTTATTGTGTGCCTCTCACAGACTATTGGCCATTGTAGCAATGAATGTCAGCCAAGCAGCAATGAATGTACTGTTGTGCTGTACCAGTCACTGGCAAAGCTCGCCTGACCTCTGGTTCTCATGTTGCGTGGACTGCTTGGGCGTTTTGTGATTGAGACCAGCCATTGGTGATTCCTAGTTAATGTTTCACAGTTGCACAACTGTATTGAAGTCTTTGCCCTGTCCATCCACAGGGCTGCATTGTGTGGCAGCCCCATAACTGCCCCTTGGTTTCAGTGTGGTGCCCTTCGCCACCCTCCAGACAAGAAGAGCCTGAGGGGCCTCCTGGAGGTGATAGAGCAGTGGCACCTGACTGTTTGAACCTATCCCTAAATGTCACAATATAGATGTCATTTTAAATGTCACAATTCCTAAATGTCACTTTGCTTGGATCACATTTCTGAAAATTCTGACACAACATTGCCAAACACCTCCAGACAACGAAGGACAACACGTGCACATGCGTATGTCCCTCTGACGAAACTCAAGAGCCCGAGGCACCTAATGGGGCTGTGGTACCTGAAGAACCTGAACAGCCAGCCTCGCTGGCGGCGGGGCCAGCCTCGCTGGCGGCGGGGCCAGCCTCGCTGGCGGCGGGGCCAGCCTCGCTGGCGGCAGGGCCAGCCTTGGCACCTGCAGGGACTGAAGAGCCTGTACAACTTGAGGAGTCAGCAGACCCTGCTGCAGGGTCACCTGGTTCATCGCCGGTGGGTGCTTGCCTAGTCCACAATTTGCATCGATGTTCTGCTGAGAAGAACTTTGTACTTCAATTCCGTTAAATATTCTGCTGCTGAAAAGGGAGGGACCTTGTACAAGGAAAAAGGACAAGAGCGCCCAACTGGCAATTCCCTCCCCACCTTCCTCTTCTCTCTTCATTTCTCCTTGCCTGCGAAGGGCTGCATGGGCATGTGTAATAATGCAGTAATGTAATAATTTGTAATAATGTGGCATTGTCAGTGAAATAAGCTCCACAGGGTGTGGGATGTTGTGACTTGTTGTTTTTACCATGCTTGGGGACTTCTGTGTCTTGTTGCACACTGTGCTGAAGAACTTGTGCTGTGCAGTTCCAGCCCAAGAGGGTTTTGTCCACAGTGGGTGCGATTCCTTCCTTTGTGAAATGACAATTTTCAGAAGTGATACGGAAAGATGCCACTGCGCATTGGCCAGTGTGGTTGCAGGATCATTCGTACCAAGTCGTTGCCCTTTGCTCAAACTTCCATCATAGGCTTTTGCCCAAACCCCAGCAGAGCCTTGAATGCAGCCAGCTCAAGGTTCTTTTAGAATGACAATTTTTGAATTGGAATAATAAATAAATAAATAAGTAAATAAATAAATAAACAGATGAGTAAATATATCCATCTGTGTTGTTTACCCTGCAGAACTGTGTATGCTCCGAGGATGGTGTCAGTGCAGGCGTCCAGACCGGCTTTGGTGGATGCACCAGGCGGCTGGAGGCCGGAGCTGCCCTTTGCTACGTGCAACCCAACCAGGGAGATTGCCCTATTGCCAGGAACTCCAGTCTTTTTCCCGGGGCGCTGTGGATATCTTGTGAGGTGAGGCTGCCAGGAACTGGCCAACTGAAGCTCTGTGCTGGTCACAATGGGCTGCATCACTCATATACGCAGATAACTGATTGCTGGAGTATTTGAAACTTTTGGTTGACACAGCGGTTGGCCTTCTGTCCTGACTGGGCACATAGCTGTGCTTGGATACTTGCTCATGCCAGGGCCAACATCTGCTGTGTTGGACTTGAAGTTCAAACCCAATCAACATCTCACAACAGATGTCCTAGAATCCATCATAGTCTTATTTGATTTCAACTTTTGTTCTGCCAGGCAAGTCACCAGGGGCAAGATTGTAGACGTCTGCAACAGTGTGCCTGATTACATCCAGCACTGTGTGCTCAATTTGTGTCTTCCTTGCTGTATGTGCTGAGCATCGCTGCATGCTCTTCCTGCTGCACTAGGATACCTTTGCAGGTGCTGTGTGGCACAGAATCACAGAAACTCTTTGTTCTCTGTTCAACCATCTTCACGTACAGTCCTGCCAATCTTCGGTGAACTGGGAGGGTCTGCCTCTCAGAGCCACATTGATGCCAACCATTCTCTGTTGCCTAGTGCCTTTACCTGTTGCTGCAACTTCCTGCAAATACACAAGACACGATCAGCTATTTGCAGATTTGCCCCTGAGAGTGCATTTCTAATAAACGTGAATGAACTATGGACACACATCTGATGGTGCAGCACATTTGTTGGGGCACATTGATTGAAATGCTTCGACTTGCATGGTTACGCAAAGGGAGAAAGGACACACTGTCCATACAACTCAATGCGATAGTTCTTGCTTGTGCAGGACCGTCCCGGCCAAGGGCCTCCAGTGGTCCAGAAAATCCCAAAGGTGAGTGTTCTGATGTTCTGCGCAAGGCCGCTTTACTGCCTTGTCCACACTGACTTTAGTTGCGAAATGGAAAAGCAGCCCAAACAAATTCCTGCAACATGTGGCAGCAACTAATCCTTTGGTTCTTCCTTTGGCTTCGTAGGCTTGTCCTTCTGCCTTCCTGCTGTAAAGGGCCAGAGAGGGGCATCATGAGTTGCTGGCTCAACAATGTCACTGTCGTACATTTGTTGGAGATTCAGATCCATTTTTTGCGATAGAATTGGGAATTGTTGAGAATTGTGGTTATTGTTGTATTCCTTGTATTTGAAGCTTGTGGGTTGTGCGAACCAGACACTGCGAGCTCAGGTACTGTATCTTGCCGCTCATTCTCACAAGGTTTGTTTCTCCCAACTGCAAACACTTGTTGACTGGATGGTCTGTTTTGGTGTCCCAGGATGAGGCACGGGACTCTGCCCAGGTCAACAAGGTCAGTTGATCTCTGTCTGCCAGGTGGATTCGGGGCCACCTTCACTAGTTTGTACGAATGTGGCCTCGCAAACAGTGTGGGGGAACGTGGTGGCCAGTTCGGCCCCCTTATACGTAAGACATGCACACCATATGTCGAGATCGTAGAGTGTACTGTTTAGGGGTTAGTTTATTGGATTTGGAGCTGTGCACTCCCCGGTAATCATTGTAGCGCCAAGCAGCACAACAGAGGAGGGCAGCTGGCCATCTTGCCTGCGGGCGGGCTGCAAGTCCCTGAGAAGGAGGCAGCCATTGCGAGCTTTGTGCGCAGCGACTGTTGATTGCTGCTCGTCCAGTTTCCTTGAGGACTGGCATGCCAGATGATGCCATCAGATATATGCATGTGTGTATGTACGTGGCCATTAACAGCATGTCAGCCAACATGGGGTATGTCGCCCCCCAGCCCCCAAGAGCACACGTCCATTGTTTGTCCCAGCAGACGCCCGTGCGCGCGCACTGCCGCTTGCCTCTACATTGAGGCATATTGCTGATTTGTTCAGATGTTGAATATGTTCTTAATTCTGTTTGGTCACCAACCCTGGTGCGTTCCGTCGGTGAAAGACTTTCCTGATCATTCTTCGATCGAAGGAGCTTTGCTCTCTCTGTGCATCTGTGTGTTGTGGCATGCTGTCATCAGGTGTGCATCTGCAGAACTTGCAGGCGCTTTCGAGCAACGTCCCTATGTTGTGGGCTGGGGGGAAGGGAATGGGTTGCAGGCTTCTCTCCCCACAACTGACGTTCGTTCCATTCCACGCGGAGCAACACAAATGTCAGGACACCTGCCACGTTGCAACTCACCAGTATGAGAATTGTGTGTATACTATGTGTATGCTGTGTGGTACTATGTGTATTATGTGTGTCGACTAGCTTGGATTCTTTGCATTCCATTGGGTGTTTGCTGAACTACTAGGCACTGCAAGATGCTGCCTCGAGAGGGCAGGAGGCCAAGACGAGGGTGGCCCTCCTGGCGGGCGCAAACCCCGAAACGCCATTCCGCAACGTCCCCATCCTCCACACCGTAGCGTCCATGGACTACGTGGCGGTGGGCACGGCCCTCATCGAGGCGGGCGTGAACGTGGACTCCAAGGACACCATGGACGGATCCACTTCCCTGCACAAAGCCTCAGGCTGGGGCAACATCGATTTCGTGGCTCTGCTCATCTCGGCGGGCGCCAACAGCACAATAAGGAACAACGATGGCAGGACGGCCCGGAGCATGGCGTGCGAATTCAACATGGCGAACCCAAAATGCCCGGGGGCGGAGATCGTCCAACTCCTCGATGCGCTTTAAATCGTGAACTTTTGTTTGGCCGCCAGCGAAAGCGGGCGACCGCGGCGCCCCATCCTTTTTGAACCTTTTTTCTCATCTTCGCACCTGTTCATTAAAGATCCTCGTTTCACACCTTCGCTTGACACCTCTTCTCACTGAAGGAAATGGCGTCCTGGAAGGACGGCAGTTTCTGCTCTTCAACTGGTATGCTTCGGCGAAATCTGTGCTCGATGGACGTTTCATGGATACATGGACACCACGCCAGCCGACAAGGGACCCGCTGCCCGCAACGTTTGCTCTGATGGGGACGAAGTTTGCTTCCCCTGTCGACAGCCACGGCTTGGATGCAAGACAAGCTCAACATTTTGAAGTGGGATGGGCTTGCTGGACACAGTGCCGCATGCCCGGTGGCTCCAGGGGGTTTCCTGAGTGCTGCGGGGTCCCTCTGGCGAGGCAAGTTGTGTGCCCAGCCGGAATTACGGGCACAGCTGCTGTGAGCAACCGGGAATTCTTCGGGAAGGGAATGTGGATGTGTGGGCTGAAACGCTCAACTCCAGGGCGTGAAAGATGTGCACGGCAGATCGAGCAGCATGTGCAGCGTTGAAACGCGGGACGTTGCGCAGCAAATCAACTGTCATTGTTGCCCGTTCTACACAGTTTCTATGCGACATTGGATCGCTCTCGTCCCAAGAATCTGTCCCCAATTTAGCCGCACCTCAGGAGCAAAGCCGCGCCACGCAGCCCCACATGTAACAACACAGACTTCCCAAAAGGAAAAAGAATCCATTCTAGTCCCCTAATCCGAGAAACATGCACACCAACGCATGGGTCGTTGATCCCGTTTGATGCTTTGGGTTGCGCCCGCCAATGCACCATCCTCAGATCAGATTGATGTTCATGATCTCGAAATGGGACAGCATCATTCCCCATGAGATGGCGGGAACCGCAGCGGGGCTCAGGACGCAACAACCTCCACGCCGCGCCTGCGCGCATGGTAAAAAGGACTCGGCCTTTTCCGGCTTCGCCTTTCTTCGAATTCATTTGTCCCCCTCCTCAATCGCGGCACAATGTTTCTGTTGTCCTCAGCTTCGGAAATGCCGTCAACCGCGGGGAAAGACAGCGTCACCCCGTCCGTTGCGTTCCCCCCGCGACCGAATCGGAGCCGAGGAAATCCACACGAACTCATTTTGAGGGTATTGATCGCAAACTTCCCTCAAAATAGGGTCTGAAGCTCCATCCCAGCGTAAATTTCAGGCTCTATACCACACACGTGCGTCCACACGGGGCACTGCAGCCTGGCAGCTCAAGCCGCGGCGTGGGGGTCCTCACTCAGACGTTGGCGCGAGGCACTCCTTCTTGGCCCCGCCGCCGCCCTCCTCCAGGACCTTCTGAGCCAGGGCATTCACGGAGGCCGCTATCTGACCCTCCCCGAAGTACGCCGCACCACCGTGGTGCGAGAAGTCCAGCCCCACGGCCTCGTCCGCCTTGCTCACTCTCAGGACCCCCGCCAGGGCCATGAGGCCAAAGAGGGCGGTGGACATGGCCAGGCTCCACAGGGAGAGCCCAAAGGCGCCCGCCAGCTGCACGCCAAGCTGCCTGCCCCCGCCGCCATAGAAGGCGCCGTAGTCGTCCGCACACGACGCGTAGCCAGCACTGCAGGTGTTGGACTCGGTGGCGAACAGGCCGACGGCGATGACGCCCCAGATGCCACTGGCCATGTGGACGGAGGAGGCGTCCAGGGGGTCATCGATGCGGAGCTTTTTGAGCATCTCCGACCACAGCGTGTAGACGAAGGCGGAGATTATGCCTGCCGCGGGCAGTGGGGGGCGGGTCAGATAGGGGCGCGGCAGAAGTTTGGAACGGGCACTATAACAGCCTTTAGGGAAAACTTGGTCCAAAGTGTGCAAAAGTGCACATAGTAGCCCGTGTGCAACCTTTACCAATATAGTGTTCATTGTAGTCGCAAGAAGAAGTTTGATAGAGGATCTTGGGTAATATAGGTCACTAAAAATGTTGTGCGTGAGCGTTGTCACTGATTGGATTTCTGGAAGAAGGATTGAGCAAGCTGGCGAAATTGGAGCGTCCAAACCGGGCAGTGGATGTACCCCAGCTTCGTACGGCGCCACGGCGCCCGCTTAGCGTTTGCAGCCCTTCTCTCGTTTTCTACGAAACGATTGCTCAAATCCCATGAATAATCCATTACAGCAGCTCTCTTGTTGCTCACCAAACGATCGCTCAACTCCTGTCAATAATCCATTACAACAATTATCTTACTTCTCATCAAACCATCGCTCAATTTCCACACCAGTACCACCACAACACCTCAGCCCCGCTCAAACTCCCCGCGAGGCCGGCTCACCGATGGCGAAAGCGCCCTGGGAGTCCACCACCGGGCAGCCGGCCGTGACGCCCACCAGTCCCGCCAGGATGCCGTTGAGCGTGGGCGGCAGGTCCGGCGGCTGCCGCCTCAGCACGTGCACCGCCAGCGAGGTGATCCCGCCGGCAGCCGCGGAAATGGTGGTGGTGACCGCCACGCGCGTGGCGACGGCCATGCTGTCCACGAAGACGAGAGTGGAGACGGGGTTGAAGCCGTACCAGCCGAACCACAGGATGAAGGTGCCCGCCACGGAGAGCACCGTGGCCTGACCTGCGATCCAAGGCAATTGGAAAGGGGTGAATGGAAATGCCGGCTCTTGTGAGCTGCAAGGCGCAGCGGTGCCCGGTCCTTCGACCTGTAAGGTGCTGCGCACCCCCTTGGCCCCTGGCGAAGCCAAAGGCTGTAATTCGCAAGAACGCAAATATCGTAGTATCGAAGACCCTTCGGTTTCTGTGGGGGTTTGGTGCAGAGGCGGAGTTTCGGCTTTGCTTCGCCTTTGTCATCGTGTGTGATCAGGGATTGTCCGCGGCAATGATTAGGTCTCTATTGCAGCTGATAGCCAGTTCGTCATTCAATTGAGTCCAGAAACACAACAGCACACTAGCAGTCAAATCAATTCAGTATTTAATGCAATGAAAGGCAGGGAGGCAGCCGTCAGTTCCCTACTTCGCCAAGGAAAGTCTGTGTGCGTCATTCACTCTCCGAAAATGCAGGGAACTGCACAAACGGATCGTGAATGCAACAGACCCAATTCCCCAGAACAGAATAGCTACGACAGTGCGCTGAACAAGCGCCTGTGCCTGAAGCTTGGAAGAAGCGCCCAGAACAAAATCGCAGCGGGCGGCATCTGCCGTGAACAAACCACCACGAACCGCACTGAGCCAAAATTGAACCTGACACACGGTTAAGAGAACACGACTTGATCACATTTTCCACACCTTGAACCACACTCGATTTTGTCCCAATTTGATAAATTTTAAATGCTGTTCCAAACTGTCTAGAGCTGGGCATTTTCCCAGTGTGAAATTAGCAATACACTGCTTACCCGGTGCTGGCATACTTATAATGGACACCCAAAAGAGCAGTGGATGCTCACACCGGGTAGTGAAGGCTAACGTGGTTTCGACCCCAAGAGACCGGGTTGGATACCAATAGGGGGGACGCTGACACCGGGTGAATACGGTAATGTGCGAACAGGCATTCCAAAGACCCGAGTTTTCGAAGTCCCCATTCGCCCACCCGCAGCCACATTCGCCACCCGGCATGTCCTTCGCCGTCCCGTCGGGCATGAACCTTGAGACTCAAACATGCGATTTCTTCACATTTCAATGCAATGTAAACGCTATGGCACACAGTTTCGAGTGTGGAAAAATTTTTCAAGTTGAAAAGAGCAACTGCATGTCAAGTCGACACTGCTGAACAGCAATACCAAAGGCTCGAGAATTTTGACATTTGCTTAGTTTACTTAATTCATTTAGAAATTCCCATACATTTTGAGGCAAATAGCCGGAAAAGGGGGGGAAAGGGGGGAAATGGAAATTTCGTACTTAAATACAGCACATGCAGACTGAGGGAGTCCGGGAAATAGCATCTATCGCGCCTAAATACGCGCAAAACGATGTTTTTGTTCGCGAAGTCGTTGTCCTTGCTGAGGGTGAGGTGTGCTTTGTGTTGCCAGTGCTGGAGAGAGTAGAGGATTGGTCGTTGATTGGGACATCATCATGTTACCTGGGCGTGTTGACGAGCCGTAAATATGCACAAATATTGCTGTAAAATTGGATGTTTCTCTATTTTCGGGTTATTATGCGTGAAAGTGTAAACGTGAGAATGGAGCCGTCAACGTAAGGACCAGCCTGCCCACCCGCAGCGACGCGCCCCACCCGGCATGTCGTTCACAGTCCCGTCCGGGTTGAACCTCCCCGCCCTGGGGCCTACGAAGTACGCCGCCATGAGCGCCGCGGCGCCCCCGGTCACGTGAACCACGCCGCTGCCCGCGAAGTCGATAAGCCCGTTGGCCCCAAGGCTCGGGTCCGCGTTCCCGTCGTCGCCCACCCGGAACGCCGACAGCCAGCCTTCCGCCGACCAGCCCCAATGCACTGCAACTGGATACACGAAGCCGGTGATGGCCATGGTGTAGAGGAAGTAGGCAGTGAGGCGGCAGCGCTCCGCAACGGCGCCGGAGACGATGGTGGCGGCGGTGGCTGCGAATGCCCACTGGAAGAACCAGGCCGACCAGTAGGTGCTTTCCGACGGGATGTCGTGGTGAAAGAAATTCTGGGGGGCCGGGAAGGCGGGTCAATCGGTGCGACGTGTGTTGGCAACGATAGAGAGTTTTCCACTATTTCATGGAAAACTCTTTATAAAAGGGGTCCCAGTTTATAATTTGGGATCCCTTTTGCACAAAAGTTTCGGGTTCGCAAATCATGCGCCATCCACGGTATGCCCAGAGTGCTTGTCCCGCTTTTTCTCAGCCACTGAAGGCAATCGATGCACAGTGGCCCGAGAGCCACACACGTCTCAAAAGAGAATTGAAGGTCGGGGGGGAGGGGAAAGTAGGTCAGGCGGTGACATGCGTGGACGCTGATGCCGAATGTTGATGCGCAATATTGCCCGTGCCGCAAAAGGCATTGATGCTCAGTGCAAA